TACACAGACTGTTGAACAATGCCTGTAGTATGGGTTTGGAATTTTTTGTTGTGGGTTTTTCTGTGTTTTTTACTTTTGTTTTCTTCCCAGTATCATCCCATTTCTTTTGCTTTAGGATCAAACTGTACTATTCATAAGATATATCTGTGTACTTGTGGTGGCTCCTGAAAGTTGCCTGTGTACTTGCATTAACATTTGCCTCTGAAACTGTTATATTACCAGTAATCTGCAACTGCCAAATTAGAAGCCATTGATGTCAGGGACAGAAGTCCTTTGTTCTTCCAAAGGATCATTAATTCTACTGGGGCATATTTGGCACCATATTTGGCCCCACTGATGCAGCCTTCCAGTATCTGAAAGGGGCCTACAAGGATGTTGGAGAGGGACTCTTCATTAGGGACTGTAGCAATAGGACACGGGGTAATGGGTTCATACTGAAACAGGGGAAGCTCAGGTTAGATATAAGGCAGAAGTTCTTTATTGTGAGGGTGCTGAGACACTGGAATGGGTTGCCCAAAGAAGTGGTAAATGCTCCATTACTGGCAGTTTTCCAGGCCAGGTTGGACAGAGCCTTGAGTGACATGGTCTAGTGTGAGGTGTCCCTGCCCATAGCAGGGGGGTTCAAACTGGATGATCTTAAGGTCTTTTCCAACCCAAACCATTCTGTGATTAAGAGAATGAACAGGAGAAATTAATTACTAAGTCAATATGGAGCAATATTCTATAGGGTGTATCATTCACCCTGCTATCTCATTTCTTCTGACATACCTCTCGGGTTATTGTGTCCTGTTTTAACAATCCGTGGTTAAATTTACACTATAAGCAGAAATGGACAGTGTGACTGAATAAGAAGAGCAGCATTTCTTCTGTGGGCAGTTGTGCACTAGAGGAATGTAGAACATTTCTATAATGAAAAGTGGGTATCATTTACTTCCCTAGAAGATTAGAGGGAATTACTATTTGAAAAGGAATAACTTTAACTAATGAAAAAACAGGCTTTACTGAAGGCAGAATTTCATTGAGCAAAGTCCCAGGTAAAGCCTTAAGTCTTGAAGGTTTACAATGTAATTCAGTTCTGACTAATCTGGTATCTGACTAGTTCCAGCTTCAAAGAGGCAGGAAACACCACAGATTTTCTTAGTATTGTGACCTTTGTTCTTCTTTTCCTTGTGTTTTTTCTTTTCTATCCTGAAAATGCATCATTAAGAATGTATGTAAAAATTACATCAGCCCCAGGTTTAAACCATGAAGGTGATCAATGGACCTCAGACATTGTTCCCCACCATTGCAGGTGGAAGAGATTCAGTTCATAGGCATGAAGTCAGGACTTGCACACCAACTTCAGAGGAAGGTTAACTGATGTACAGATAAATTTGATGCTGATAGTCAAAGCTGGTATCTGTGTGATCCTGAACACATAAGCAAACTCTATCTACCACATACATTTGGTTTGCATGGCAAGGTTTTGGTAGTGAGGAGCTACAGTGGTGGCTTCTTGAGAAGATGTTAGAAGCTTCCCCAGTGTCCAATGAAACCAATGCCAGCTAGCTCCAAGATGGACCTGCTGCTGGTCAAGGCTGAGCCCATCAGTGATGGTGGTAGTGCCTCTGAGATAACATAGTTAAGAAGGGGAAAAATCTACTATGCAGAAGCAATTGCAGATGGAGAGAAGATTGAGAATGAGATGAAGTCCTGCAGACACCGAAGTCAGTGGAGAAGGAGGGGAGGTGCTGCAGGCACCAGAGCAGAGACTCTCTTGCAGCCCATGGTGCAGACCATGGTGAGGCAGGTTGTGCCCTGTAGCCATGGAGGTCCAAATGGAGCAGATATCCACCCGCACCCCATGGAGGTTAACAAGGGGGCAGATACCCACCTGCAGCCCATGGAGGGCCCCACACTAGATCAGGGGATGCCTGAAGGAGGCTGGGACCCTGTGGGAAACCAGCTCTGGAGCAGGTTCCTGGCAGGAGCTGTGACTGATGGAGAAAGAGGAGCCCCTGCTGAAGCAAGGGAAGAGTGTGAGGAGGAAGGAGCAGAAAAGACCACTGACCACAACCCCATTCCCTGTCCCCCTGATCTGGTCGGTAGATAAATCAGAAATAAAGTTGAGCCTAGGAAAAAGGGAGAAGTAGGTTTTTATTTAAGATTTGGTTTTATTTCTCATTTTCCTACTCTTATTTGATTGGCAATAAATTAAATTCATTTCTGCAAGTTGAATCTGTTTTGCTCATGATGATATCTGGTGAGTGATCCCTCCCTGTCCTTATCTTAACCCATGAGCCTTTGGTTATATTTTCTTTCCCCTGCCCAGCTAAGGAGGGAGAGTGATGGAGCAGATTTGGTGAATCCAAAGGTCTCATCCAGCCAAGGTCAACCCACCACACGTTTGGAAATATGAGAGATTCCTGTACCTCTCACAACTACAGCATTCTGCACTTATCTCAGTTCTCTGTCAGGAGAAACGAACATTAGCAACTACAAGTGACTAGAGGCAGAAAAATGTAAACATCCAGAGTTTTCCCACTTTCCCTTCAGATACAGAAAAGTGAGATCCCCATGTTACAAGATGATATCTCTACTATTAGCCTTGAGGATGAGTTTTGGTTCTCTATCGTGAATGAGGTGATGTTGCAGGATTTCAGCTATGTCATATTTGGAAGCTGCTTTCCAGTTTACAGCTGAAACTGGTATAGAGTATACAGGAGCTTCAAATTGCTGCATGCCCTCACTGCTCTAAGGATCACAACCTCCACCATTTCATGGTCAGTGCAGCCAAGGCTGCCCTTGAGCTTCACATTCACCACCAGCCACTTCTGTTAGTGATAACAGGGTCTAGTATAGGACCTCTCCTCATTGATTCCTCTATCACTCGGTAAAGGAAGTTCTTGTCAGCACATTCCAGGTACTTGGGTTACCCTGCTGTGTTGTCCTTCCAACAGATACCAGGGTGATTGAAGTCTCCCATGAGGACCAGGGCTTGTGAACATGAGGATGCTTCTATCTGTTCCACTCAGTCTTCCTGGTCAGATGGCCTGCAGCAGACCCCCACTATAATGTCTCCTATCCCTGCCCTCCCTTTAGTCAATTGAGAATGAACAAAGTGAGCAGGAAACCTGTCTATTTACTCAGCCTGAGTCTGTGCACCATAGAATCGTAGAATCACAGAATGGTTTGGGTTGGAAAGGACCTTAAGATCATCAAGTTCCAACCCCCCTGCCATGGGCAGGGACACCTCGCTCTAAACCGTATCACCATGATCCCTTGAGTGTACGTCCCAGCGTTAGTATGGACAAAGGGAAGGTGTTCTTTCCTTTTTTGGGTAGTTTTCACTCCACTTACAGCCTTTTCTATTAAAAAAATAAAAAAATCATAAAATACTTAGTGAACAGGAAATTAAGAATGGCTCACAAGTGGGAAAAGTTAGGATTAGTTATGTCCATCCACTTTTCAGAGCCTTTCTACTTGTCTGAGTAACTCTAGCAAAGAAGTTTTTGATATTAAAGGGACTTATTACTGACTTTTTGCAGCTAAATTCTGGTGCCTGCAGTGTACATTTCTGCATCTGAGAAAGTCATCCTGAAGATCCCTTTGTAGTTAATGCCAGTCAATAGCAGCCAGTGAAATTTAGGTCATTCTGAAGTTGATGACTTTATTCAGAAGACCCCCACCCTCAAAAATCTATTGACTGTATTGATTAGATCTGTAATAGGAGCCTGGAGCCTGGGAGCCATTATACTCAGATGAAAGTACTTACACCTTAAATTAGCTGAGATGAATGTCATCTTCAGAAGGATACCCTTTCTCATTGAAGAGTTTCTAATAGCTCTTTGTGGTGTTTGTGTGAATGCAAGGCAGGAACTGGAATCTATGCTTTGTATGTGCAGCACAGTAGACAATGAACATCTGATTTCAAAAGACTATCCAATTGATATGATTATGAGCAATTTTAATAAGTGGCATAAATAAAAAAGTGTGGCTTTCTATTTTGTTGCTTTGAGGGAAGGGGATGTTTGATCACGGCTGTATTTTGACACCTTCTTGGTTTAGAGTAAAGCATAATTAAGAGAAAGAGTGTTTCTAAGGCTTTTATCTGCAGTATATAAAAATAGTTGTTCTCAGTTATGATTCAATAATAATAACAGACGACTTTTCCATCCCTTTCCCTTGATACCATGTTTAACTAGATTTGCTTACAACACATATATAAACAGTGCTCACTAAGGAAGTAGATAGAGAATAAACACAAACACTACAAAAGCCTGCTTGTGTTTTTCACAGCAATGCTTACTACACACAGGCCTGCTTCAAGGTGTGGTGAGTGCAAGAATACAGTATGTCTAACCTCAGAAGACTTTAGTGCTATCTTGGAGGTGCTGTCTTGTTGATGTCTTTGCTAAGAGGCTTCTCATACAGTAATTGGAGACACGTGTGCACTTTCGTCCAAAATTGTCTATTTCCATTAACTGGCTACATAAATAGTGTAAAGATTTTATGGTTTAGAGATCTACACATGGTATAGTGAATCATTCCAATCAAGAGGAAGTGTCTTATGGTTTCATTGTATGGAAAATCAAAACCAGACTAAGATTTGTTCAAAATACTTTCCCCTGCAAGATGCATCAGTGTCGCAATCTGGCTTCTATATTCAGTCCATTTTGCAGGAAAGGGTATTTTTAAAGCTAAATACAACATCCTCTTCCAGTACGGGAACTGCTGACATTGGAAAAAAAACACAAAATACACTCTTTTCCTTGCTACCTCAGGCTATACGTTATATTTTCTTTATAAATCTTTACTTTCAGCCTCCCTACCTCTTCCACTTCCACAATTACCTTAAACTGGAATCAGTGAAATACAGGTTTCTGAGATTACATCTACTTCATTCTTGACTATGCGTTTTGGGACCACCTTGGGTAGCCACCCTTCCATCGGTAACATCTTTGCATCACTAAGTCTTTCGGAATGCCATGAATACTTATCAGTTATTCTTGGTTTTGCAGAGCCTGTGATCACCCTGAGAAGTGGAATGGATTCTCAAGGCGTTTCAGATTCAGACCCTACGTCAATGCCTGCTTTACCGACCACATTATAATAAAACTGCTATAGCCAACACACACTAATTGTATGAAAGAAAAGCTAAGTTTTCTACTATGTGTTAGTATAATTGTGAATATTTTTTCTTTATTTTTTACCCTTTCACTGCAGAGATGTTTTACCTTATGTTACAGATTTTAATTATGTCCCCTATGTATCTGGGGAATGCTATTTCTTTGCCTCAAGGTTCAGTATACAGTGTTCAGTAAGATGTATAACTGTTAAATCATGTTTATTTTTTGTGTTCTTAACATACTCCTGAACTCCATTTCTGCTCATTTAAAACCATGAAAGTCAATACATTCTAATTCTTCTTTTGCTATTGTTTCTGTATATTTAAAAAGAATCTAGCTTAGATTCTCCTACTGTGCACTGTCGCTATAGAATTTGCTTTGCCAGGCTGAGCTAAGCAATTTCGCTATTATATGTGCCATTTACAAACGCATCAATTAGATGTTTATTTGAGCCCATTGTATGCACAGAACACTACATTTATTTATGAGAAACACTAGGGAGAGAGCAGGGCAAACAAACATTAAGACATATTGTACCATGTTTTTTAAGAAGAGAAGACCTTTAACCTGTTAAAAAATCAAGCAAGGCATCTCATGAAGAATGTCAAGTTTTGCATTAGATTTCATTTCATTGGTTTCCATGCAACAAGCATTTGGGATTTTGCTCCATTTTCACCCACAACATTTTCTGCTGAAATTCTGATGGAAAAATGCCATTTAAATTCTTCTTTAAATGTGTTGTGTACTATAAATGTCATTTCCTTCCAGCAAATAAAGCATTTTAAAATGGTTTTAATTAAATATCATATAAATTGTCAAAGAGAATTTCACAAAAGTATATGTATTTTATTCTTTATGAAAAGTTGCATCTTTTGACATAAATGTTTCTCACCAGAAAAAGCTACCTCTATATGTTACGGATTTTTGGTTACTGTAAAGGCACAGAAAAGAGTAACAAATGTAAACTAGATTCTCACCTCCAGTAATTTGAATTACATGCTTCCTTTCCAGAAAGCTGACACAGTCTTTCGTCAGTAAAGGCTGAGCACTGGAAGTGCTCAGAGAAATCTTAGAGGTACTTAAGCTGCAAGAGTCAAAACTGTAAAACTTCTTAAATCAAGAAGCAAAAAAAATTAGTTTCTGGTGGATTTTCTCTGGATCTATCCTATAAAATCTACAGAACTTGATCATTATGTGTAATGTATATATTTATTGTTTGCTATTAAGAAAGCCTAATTAATGGAATGATACTCTGTTTTCTAACCAAGCTGTGTGCTGGCATGAAATTACAATTTATGATACCTGCTGTTTACCTTAGTACACAGTTCACTTCTGAAATAGAACTCCCTCCTCATACTTACTACAACCTGCAGACTGCCTCTGTCAGCACATTTGGCAAATCCTCTAGTGATGAAAACCATTTTCATCTAGTTAGTAAGAGCTAGAACAAACCCAGCTCGTAGTGATTGCAAGCCAATATTTCAGTGCTTCGAGCTGTATTTGAACAGTGGATCCAGACCAAACAATCCTTGCCCATTCACTAATCCCATTCATTAGAAGCTCAGTGATTACCTTATTAGTATGATGCAGTGCAGAGACAGACTGATGGAGCTTTCACTGAGCCAGCAGACACAGCAGATGCATTTGGCATCGATAACCCAGGTGGAGCATTTCTCTACTGAAACTATAGAGGCTGCCTGGGTTAGAGCAAGAATGAAGTACCCACATGACAGCATAGACATACTGCTCCCTGTTGTGTATTATAAAATTGGTTATAATGGCAAATGCTATTTGAAAAACAACATGATTTCATGAAGTTGCTATAAAACAGTAAATGCATGCTGAATCATACAATCTGTGTCATTGATTGATACGAACCCCCATTTGGACAACCAGCCATTGACTGCAATACTGACTTCAGCTTCAGTTTTAACTGCAACTGAAGATGTTTTCTATTGCTTTAGTCGCTTTATGGACACATTTGTCTTCTCCTTCTTCATGGCAAGTATATCTAACAATGCCATTACACAGCTGTTTAGATGAGAATACTAGCATAGTTGTTTCTTCTTTACAGTATCACAGGCAGAGACACAGAGCTCAAAGCTTTCCAAGAGCAAGCAGATCAATTTGGGCAGATCCTACAAGCCACCTTGAGGTAGGAGATTAATATAAGATCAGGATATGACAGGGGAAAATTTTAATAAAACCTATTTTCATGGGCATTAGGATGAACTAGATGATATTAATGTCCTTTCCAAACCTCAATACTCTATGACTCTATGCTGCAAAAGTTAAAAAGATCCCAACAAAATACATTAAGAAGAGGTACATCAGAAAGATAGTGAGCTTAGTACCCAGTTCAGTTCTTAAGCTGTGAGGTCCTCTTACTCAGAAGTGGAAGAGGAAGCAGTTTCTGTCTCTTGTGCCTGAAGGACAAGTGTGAACATGAGAAAACAAACGTATTCGGCATGTCTCTTGCTGCCATAGACGAGCCATTCAGGAGCCAGAGAAATTTCTCAGATCTGAGGTCTTGCAAATGGGAACTGTTCACCAAAGCTGGGTCTACAAAGGGATATAGGTGTGAAAACTGATAGTGCTATACTTGCTTGTACTTATGATACATGTGAAGACTTTTACTGGATATGTAAGTTTGCAGTGCTGGGAAGATGGCTGCTTGAGCTAAGAGGGTGGAAGTCCTGAGGAGCATTCAGTGTCTTCATCACCATAAGGTAGGACATAATCAGTTCTTGAACCCCCTGGTTTACTTCCATCAGTAAAGGTGGTTCACAATCTGTCTCAATACACCCTTTCCCTCTCATCATTATTTTGCAGTGTCTGTTCTATATTTCCTAATTGTCTTTTCTGGTTTGAATAGTCTCAGATGACTTGTCCTTTTCTTCTATACTCAGTTAACTTGCCTAGCCTCATGACTTCCTCTTTCAATGGCTAAACGGGTATCCTATATGCCTGAATTTTAGACAGCCATAGCTGTCTGAAAGGAGTTCAGTCTTTTATCTAAGCTGTTTTGTGCTAGGAAGGCACCACTTATCTGCTGTGCATGGTGCGTTTTGATCCAAAGTCAACTGAAGTTATGGGATATGTCAGGCATTGTATTTTGCTGTTCGATTCTGATCATTTCTTAGGCAAGTGCCAGAGAAAACAACAACATTGAAATGGCAGTGATTGGCACATTTCTCCACTTTATCAGTTTGTGCTTCTATAGAGTGAAAGTGAAGAACGATGGGGCAGGTTAACGGATGACACTCTAAAGACTTATTAATCCACAGCTCTGTCAGTCTAAGGGGCCTTGAAACACTGAAAATGGCTGCAATTCATCCATTTAGTTTAAGTGCATTAACCCACGTAATTAGGTGCAGCCTCTTCCATAGCATCAGCCTACAACTTATTAATTATCCCACACACGGAGTCTGAACTGTGTTTCTCATGTGTTCAGTCATTATAGGCTTCCACGCTGTGGAACTGAGATGAACTTAATTAGACCACAAGGAAGTACGGTTATAATTGGTCTGGAGCAGCTTAGTAAAATTTAGTAAGGCAGTTTAATTGGCTTCTTTGTATTACTGATTCTAGAATCTATCATTTGCTTTGGACAGTGGACCAGCTCCGCCTCACCTTGCTGTGGAAAGCAGATTAAAAAACGTATGATGATAAGTGGTAATTTGGTGGATTATTATACACAGTAATGGCAGAAATTGGTACATTTCGCAGTAAAAGTCAGGGATTCCTTGGATGCTGTCCATAACTGGAATGTCAGTTTTAAAGACTATCGGGTGCCATTCGGGAAGGAAGATTGGTCATTGCTGCTTTGTAACCTTTGTTCCATTGAAACAGAGTTATGACTGATGTCAGAGTCCCTTTCATAGCAGCTATATGTACATGTATATATCAAATAAAGACCTATCACCAAGGTGAACATGTTAAGCTTTCTGGTTGATATAAACCTATTGGCTCAGGCATTGTGTGCCCCAGGGAATATATAGGAGGTGTGCTTGAGAGCGTAGCTTACAGACTTTACAGAATGTGATTGTGCTTTTATAGGTCCTAGGCTGCTTTCATGCTGTTTAATAACATAGGAAGGAAGCACAGGTAAAGATAATCTGGAGAGCATAGGGAACTCCGGTCAGCTGCTGCTGGCTGAAGATAATGCATGAACACGAGATCATGGAATCATAGAATGATAGAATGGTTTGGGTTGGAAAGGACCTTAAGATCATCCAGTTCCAAACCCCTGTCATGGGCAGGGACACCTCACAGCAGACCATGTCACCCAAGGCTCTGCCCAACCTGGCCTTGAACACTGCCAGGGATGGAGCATTCACCACTTCTTTGGGTAACCTGTTCCAGCACCTCACCACCCTCACAGTAAAGAACTTCTTCCGTTTACCCAACCTGAACATGAAAGGTGTTTGCTGTGAAAAGGACCCCAGGAGTGATTATTGCAACTGTCTGCATAGTTGTGGTACTAACTTCCTCGTAGCCAGCTTGCTGTCATGCTAGATAAAGAAAGGAAAGAAAGAAAGAACCCCATGCAGTATGCTGGCATGCTGGAACAGCTTTTGTAATGCACAGCAAACAGACAGTTAGTGAAATGCAGAAGCACACGGTGATGACTGACACATTTGACAGGGGCAGGTAGAAAAACATCAGATAAGTCTTGTGATTGCATCATCCTTTACCTTTCCTTCCTTTGTGTCTCTACTGGGGTGTTTCTTGCATGCTCAGCAGCAATGCTAAGTGCTGGAAAGCATCTTATAGGATCTTATAGCCCTGCACATTCAAAGTCCAGACTCAGCAATTCTTCAGTCTGCAACATGTTTTTAGAGCTCATTTTCTTACAGGTAAGTTGGACTTGTTGCTGATCCCAGATTTGCCTCATCTTATTTTAAGCATCTAAAGAAGGAGAACAGCCACTTTCAGCTCCTTTCACAGTCAGTGGAAAGAGATCTTAGGATAGGCTGTACTACCCTCTAGAGATGCTTATGTTTCCCAAGGGTTGCTGTGTTGAGAATTTAGAGCCTCAGTTAGGTGGGGTGAGTCTAGGCTGAGTTTCCCTTCACAGTTCTTCAGTATAAAACTGCTCTCTGGTGGGCTATAAAGTTTCATCAGGGCTGTTTCTTCCCACTTCTCCAAATCCCATATTGATCTTTCCTACGCTTTTAACTGTTACTAACTTTCTGAGCCTCTGTCTTCATTTGATGTAAGGCCAAATAAAAAGCTCCACAGAGATAGTCAGGCAGGACAGAAGAAGGGAATCTTTGTAAATTCTTCCAGGTTCTTGCAATACTTACAGTCTCCAAAGGAGAAAATGCAAGCACAATGCAAAGACTAAAGAAAAGTCACTCTCCATTCCTTAAGGCAAATAGAGATTCATATATGGTTTATATATTATACAAAATCAGAAGATTTTGCTATGAAGAAGTTTGCTGTAGATGATGTCAGAGAAATTATATCTATGGGTATGGTCACAAAATTCTAGTGCTGGATGGTATGAGAAGACTCATTAGGGTGAATCTGAGATGGCAGATGCTCTATTTGGGAAAACTGAACATTGGCTGAAGAGAATCCAGATCATATTAATATATTGTAAAAGCAGAAACAGCTTTAATTTTTTCCATGTTTGCAGCCAGGTAGGAGTGGAAACCACTGTTAATTTTTCAGTTAATGTGTTTGGTTCTTTCAAGCCAGTTGGATCCCAGGTATGAAGAGGGCCAAATTTAGCCGCATGTGAACAGAAGTCAGTTTCTGATCCTTGATCTTAGTAAAGAAATGACAGCAAATACTGCCAGATAGTCTGTTCTTTAAAACATGAATGGGATGTATCATACTGTCCTGTCAGTCAGTCACCGCTCTTCCATGATTAACAACATCTACACAGTGTC